ATTGTCATTGTAGATGTTGCCAGCATGGCCTGCAACAGCTGTGTCAGGGTGATGTTCATCCACAAAAGTTTGCACTTCAGTCCACTTTGTACAAATGTCCTTAATCTTTGAAGGTAACTTCTTCCATCTCACTTCCCCCTTCTCTGAAGGAAATTCCTGAGCTGTGGTCTGTTGGTGTTGCACCTCAAGCTCTTGCAGCTCTGTAGTGGTTAGCTCTTCATTGTCGTCCTCCACCAACTCTTCCACAACCTCGCCACTAACCTCCAACCCCATGGACTTCCCCAATGACACAATAGATTCCACAACTGGCATAGGCTCCTCAGGGTTAGCCCCAAACCCATCAAAATCCCTCTCTTGTACACATTGTGGCCACAATTTTCTCCAAGCAGAGTTCAAAGTCCTGCAAGTCACTCCCTCCTAAGCCTTACCTATAAGGTTTATGCAACTGAGGATACTAAAGTGATCTTTCCAGAACTCTCTTAGGGTCAACTCAGTGTCCGAGGTCACTTCAAAACACTTTAGAAACAATGCTTTGGTGTACAGTTTTTCGAAATTTTAAATGACCTGCTGGTCCATGGGCTGGAGGAGAGGAGTGGTGTTAGGGGGCAAAAATTTCACTTTGATGAAACTAAACTCCCCCACAATTCGCTCTTCCAAGTCTGGAGGATGAGCAGGAGCATTGTCCAGTAACAGGAGGCACTGGAATGGCAATTTATTTTCCAGGAGGTATTTTTTCACACTGGGCCAAACACGTCATAGAACCAATCGAGGAAAATGTCCCTAGTGACCCATGCCTTACTGTTTGCTCACCACATCACACACAATTTAGTTTGATGACACTGTTTTTCTTGAACACTCCAGGAGTTTCAGAGTGATACACAAGTAAAGGCTTTACTTTGCAATCCCCACTAGCATTACTACAAAACATAAGAGTTAGCCTGTCTTTCATAGGCTTATTTCCTGGGAGTGCCTTTTCCTCCTGAGTAATGTAGGTCCTGTTTGGCATTTTCTTCAGAAACAGGCCTGTTCCATCACAAACACTTGTTGGGGTTTTAACTGTTCAGCCTCTATGTACCCCTTAAAGTCCTGCACATATTTTTCAGCCACTTTTTTGTCAGAACTGGCAGCCTCACCATGCCTTATCACACTGTGTATGCCACTACGATTCTTAAATCTCTCAAACCAACCTTTGCTGGCCTTAAATTCACCAATAAGAGCACTAGTTCCAGGCATTTTCTTAATGAGATCATCATGTAACTGCCTTGCCTTTTCACATATAACTGACATATAACTGACAGTGAAACACTATCCTGATAATTGTTTCTCGTTGATCCACACCAACAACAGTCTCTCCACATCAGAACAGAACAGAGGACTCACAGGTAAGGACCCACTAGGGGCAAGGGGCAAGTGGGGACAGCTCGAAGAATAGTCGGTGAGAGGAATGTCTTGAGATGAAGAGAGAAGAGTCAGGACTAGACCCAACAGCTAAGCCTTGGAAGCAGACGGAAACAGCAACACAAAAAACAGGAGAACACTCAGTCGTCCGGCTGGCAAGCTATCTGCATCTTGCATTCTTGATGTTAAATAACAAAAAAGGCACAATACCGTGACTGGAACGATACACAAAAAACCCGCACATAAAAGAGAGAAGCTTACGATGACGTTTCGGTCCGACTTGGACCATTGACAAAGTCACACTAACCAGAGGTGGAGCAGGACGGTTATATATAGGTAGGAAGAGGGGGTGGTGGTAGTAGTAGTAGTAGTACAAGAGTTGTATATAATACCGACAAGATGAAATTAAGACACATGCACAACACCTGGGCATCCCCATCATAGACGTTTCACCATCCAGCCAGCCACTGGATGGCGAAACGTCCACAACAGAGACAACCAGACGCCGCACATGTGGTTAGTGTGACTTTGTCAATGGTCCAAGTCGGACCGAAACGTCGTCGTAAGCTTCTCTCTTTTATGTGCGGGTTTTTTGTGTATTCTTGATGTTGATTGGCGGCTGGCAGAAATTAGAGGCGTGGTCAAGGGAGGCTAGCTTCTTGATTGGTCAGGTGTCGTTGAAGTGTGAGTCAGGAGTTACATCATTTCTTCAGTGTTGGAGGCATTCCTTATGTTGTGCAGTTGTTGGGAGGAAACGATGAGTAGTCTTGTAATCTTGGGTCAAAATGCTGGGTCGGCTTGTAACTGATCACAGGTCATCTTGAGTGCCGTGAAGGAGCAATGGGTTCCTTTACGATTTGTAAACTTGACTGTTCTGTCGACTAATTTCTCATACAAAGTGTCGACATTCATGGTGGGTTCTTGGTCAGAAGTCGTATAAAAAGTTATATCTTTCCAGTGCAGGTATTGATCTCGGTGTTGGTCTTCTGTATTAATACGTCGAGTGATGACTGGTGAGGTTTTTGTTGGTGGTTGCAGCATTGATGGTTCATTCAATGTTGGTGTCTCCGCTACAGAGTGTATAGAAGACTGTGGTGGAATCGTGGCTTCTGATTGGTTCATTTGTGTAGTGGTGAGTGGAGGCGAAGGAATGATATTGACGCCGCCACAACGAGCCAATCGACAAATAGGAGGTGTAGTGCTGTTTTGGATGTTATCAGGTGAATATTGATTGGAGGATTCAAAAGAGGATGCGTCATCGTTATCAATTATTAATTCCTTCAAGTCATCTGGCGCTTCAAAACTGATGATCTTCGGGATTATTTTCAAAATCTCAGCTGATGGTGGACTTGCAGGGAAGTTAAATGATGGCATGTTGTTAAGTGCAAGGAGTTCATTAATAGGCGTGTTGGAAGAGCCAGGTTTCGCAGCATTTTGCATGTGAGCAAACATCATGCAGTAATAAAATTTGGTAGAGATATCGTCTGGTGGTGGTGGTGCTGTGAGAGGTGGTGGAGACGACTGTTGATTGGCTTGTAGAGTAGATGCTTGAAGTAATTTTGTAGTGTCTGCTTGTAACTTTGCAATTGCGGCATACGTTGGTTTGTTAGTAGGTTTTTTCTTTGCTGCATCTTGTGTTTTCTTCATAATATCCTTTCTTGTAGGACATTTTGCTGCCAGTGTATGGTGATCATTACTTTTGCAGTTTAAACATGCTGGTTGTGTTGGAGTAGCAGCGGTACAGGAACTGAAGGTGTGTCCCTCACTACCACATGTAGTGCAGAACTTCTTGTCTTTTACTGGACATGCTTTGGTGGTGTGAAGATAAGAATAGCAGTTCCAGCAAGGTTGGATGTAGTGGTATCTCTCTGCTTCTATGTAGGTGGGACTGATGTAGTAGTAGTAAACAGCAAGACCTTCGTTCAGAGCAGTGGCAGCCATGTTCACGTCGGTAAAGGTGACCTTGAGCATAGACAATGCATTCGGGATTTTGGTAATGCTGTCAACAGTAGCCCAAGTATTTTGAGTTTCTATAGATGACTTGAGTTCATCAATTAGTCGAGAGGTCAGAATCTTATCCAGTTTTTTCAGGAATACTGATTTCCTTGCCCTGAGGGCAGATGATGATGTAACAGTAAACCCTTGAGCAGTAAGAGTAGTGGTGGCTTCTGTAGTAAGCAACTTCTCTGCTTCAGCATCATCGTGACACACAACAATGAATGCTTCTTTGAGTGATAAAATAGAGTTGGATTTTACAAGCAATGCTCCCTGCACAACAGTTGCAAGAGCAAGCTTCGTTGAATCATCAACGGCACCACTTTTTGGCTTGATCTTTACACGATTTGCATAGCTCATTGTGCAAGTCAAGGCGAAGACAACACTGGTAAAGGTTCCCCTCCCCAACGGGGATCGTAGGGAGACTGAGTAAGTAAGGAGAGCTGCAATGACCTGCCGAGGCAAGAGTTAAAAGTAGAATCTCTTCTCCACATCTTCGAGTATTTGCGATCTCTGTTTCGTAAGCACATTTGCACCTTTCACAACAACAGCTTCCTTGATTGCCTTTTTGTTGGCCAAGATAGTAGCGATGGTTGTATGGGGTTTATTATACAACCTGGCCAGCTTGGAGACACGCACTCCACTTTCATATTTTGCAATGATCTCTTTCTTGAATTCAATAGTATTTCTCACCCTCTTTACCACAGGGCTGGCACTAGAAGCTTTCTTTGGGCCCATGGTGGTTTATTTAGCAGTTACCAGCACTAAAAACAATGGAAAAATACAAAATGTATCGCATGTATGTGTGGAATTGTCCTCACTGGCTTGTAAACAATGGCACACTGGCTGTACATGGAGTGGCCGGGCTGCTCAGGCTGCACAGACACGTTTGAGACTAATGACTTTAACCGAGTTCTTTGTCGTTAACTTAGTCAATATTTAGGTGCAAAAAGTGTCATTATCCGATGATATCGTTAACTGAGGGTCCAGATTTTTTTAATACTGCATACACCGAGTGTTAAGACCCATTCTATGCTGACCAGGCATCTCAGGCCAATCGTGCCAAATTTGGAAGCAGAAAAAATAGAACGTAGATCTACGTTTGGAGTGCTAGCCATAAAAACGTAAATCTACGTTTCAACAGTTAAGGGGTTAAGAGAGATTATAATAATACAGCCTCTCCTCACTTAGCAATATACACTAGTTTACCAATGACTCGGACTTACGATGGGCTCTCTGACCAGTATGCATACCTAAATAATGTATATTAGAGCTGATTTCTTCTACGTATTCTGTTTATTACAATATACAGTCCACTACTGTATAAACATTTAAAAATATTCCAGAAATGTTATAAATGGTGCAAAGATGACAAAAGAATATCAAACATGGATGACATTAACCCACTACCATTATAGTATGCTCCTCACTTAGCAACAAATTTGTTTACTGAAGTGGTCTTAGGAACGGAATTCTGTCGTTAAGTGAGGAGAGGATGTATAGCAAACATAATATAATAAAAATAATATAGCAAAATAATATAATACAACAAAATAATTGAGCAAAAATCTATGAAATAATTAAGCAACCTGGAAATTAAGTCGTACCATCACATCCTCTTTGGTTAGCAAAAAGATAGCAGCCTCCACTCCGGGCTGTTGCAGACATTATGAGATCTCGAGAGACGTAGCCCTTTCTTATCTCTGTGTAGGAGCCTGAGCCATTTACAATTATCTCTGCACCATCCAAAGACATTGGAATGTGAGAACTGCAAAATAAAAATTAGTGTTATCTTTCCTAAAAGACTGACATAATATAAAAAAATCTTTCTTTCTTTCAACGCACCAGCCATATCCCACTGAGGTGGGGTGGCCCAAAAGAAATAACGAAAGTTCCACCTTTTAAATTTAGTAATATATACAGGAGAAGGGGTTACTAGCCCCTTGCTCCCGGCATTTTAGTCGCCTACATAAAATAATATTTAAAAATATTTAAAAATATTTAGAGAGAATGGATCAAAGTAGAATGACATGGAAAGCATTTAAATCTGTAGGAGAAGGAAGGCAGGGTAGGGGTCATCCTCGAAAAGGTTGGAAGGAAGGGGTAAGGGAGGTTTTGTGGGCGAGGGGTTTGGACTTCCAGCAGGCATGCATCAGCGTGTTTGATAGAAGTGAATGGAGACGAATGGTATTTGGGACCTGACGATCTGTTGGAGTGTGAGCAGGGTAATATTTAGTGAAGGGATTCAGGGAAACCGGTTATTTTTATATAGCCGGACTTGAGTCCTGGAAATGGGAAGTACAATGCCTGCACTCTAAAGAGGGGTTTGGGATATTAGCAGTTTGGAGGGATATGTTGTGTATCTTTATACATATATGCTTCTAAACTGTTGTGTTCTGAGCACCTCTGCAAAAACAGTGATTATGTGTGAGTGACGTGAAAGTGTTGAATGATGATGAAAGTATTTTCTTTTTGGGGATTTTCTTTCTTTTTTGGGTCGCCCTGCCTCGGTGGGAGACGGCCGACTTGTTGAGAAAAAAAAAAAAATTTAATTTGAGAATACATCTAAACTGAAAAGTGCATTATGTGTAAATTTATAGTATAAAAGCAAAAACAGGTCTACAAATGATAAGAAGAAAGGGGGGATTAAAAGTGGCTGGTGTTAGTGGGATTATGAATAAGATTCTGAAAGTAAGTAGGAATACTGTTTTGGAGTGGCTGCTTGGTTGGTTTATTAATATATACATGAAAGAAGGGAAAATACCTAAAAATTGGAAGGAACCATACAAGGTTCCTCTGTGTATAAGGAAAAGAAGAAAGAAAAGAGCAAGAATTATAAGTGAGTAAGTCTGTTAGTAGATATGGTGTTCAAAGTATACAGCAAAATTAAGGTAAGACAAATAGAATTGCAGAAGAATATGAACAGTTTAGGAAGGATAAGAGATGTATATAATGTGTGTTTTTATATTTGAACAAATATTTGTAAGTAAGCAATGCATTTATGAATTGCAAAAAAGGATAAGATAAGGTGAATTAGAAAGCAGTAAAATAGTGAATGCTGGTGTCGGGAAAAGTACAAGGTTAAATGATAATGAAACAGTATATGCATTATAAGTTGTAATGAATGACTGTCAATGAATCAAGAGAAGAATGGATGGAGACTCAAATTATGGTCCATGCATATAGTAAGCCCAAAACAGTAACCACCCCTACTGTAAGCTCTGTGGCTGAGTGGTTATAGCACTGAGCTTGCTATATGCATGAACCACCATGAGAGTTGCCATCCATTCTTCTGTTTTATATAATGATACTGATATGAAAATACAGCTGGCTCTTTGCAGAAGAAAGTACTTTCAGGAAATTCTGAAGAGAAGTTTTAAAGGTTGGTGTAGGGGAGGTGGGTATTTAAATGAAGGTAAAAGTGAGCATAGACAAGAGAAAGGAGATTTATTTATCTGTCTGCAAATGGCTTCAAGGGTTTTTCTATCCTGGCAGCCTGGCCTTTGACCGGACTTCTTCGTTGATCCCCTGTTCAACCAGGCTGTTGCTGTTAGGGGCATACTGGCCATCATAGCCTGGTTGATCTGGCACTTGGAGGGAAGGAGTATGGAGAGGAGGAAGTGAATGTGTTAGAATTCAAATAAAAAAAAAGAACAGGTGAATTGTAGAGTAGAGGAGTGAAATAAATGTAGGCACTGTGGGAAAAATAACGCTTAAGAATAGAGGCAAAAAAAGAATGCTCAAGAGTATAGTTTACCTGGAGAGGGTTTCAGGGGTCAATGCCCCCACAGCCCAGTCTGAGACCAGGCCTCATGGTGGATCAGGGTCTGATCAACCAGGCTGCTACTGCTGGCTGCACACAAGCTTATGTACGAACCACAGCCCAGTTGGTCAGGTACTGACTTTAGGTGCCTGTCCAGTGCCTTCTTGAAAACAGCCAAGGGTCTATTGGTAATCCCCCTTATGTATGCTGGGAGGCAATTGAACAGTCTTGGGCCCCAGACACTTACTGTGTTGTCTCTCTGTGTACTCATGGCACCCCTGCTTTTCATTGGGGGAATGTTGAATCTCCTGCCAAGTCTTTTGCTTTCATAGGGAGTGATTTTCGTGTGCAGGTTTGGTACCAATCCCTCCAGGACCTTCCAAATGTATATTATCATGTATCTCTCTCGCCTGCATTCGAAGGAATACAGATCAAGGACCCTCAACTGTTCCCAGTGGTTTAGGTGCCTTACCATACTTGTGTGGCGTGAATGTTCTTTGTACACTCTCCAGGTCTGCAATGTCGCCAGCCTTGAAGGGGGCTGTTAGCATACAGCAGTATTCCAGCCTAGAGAGCACAAGCGATTTGAAGAGAATCATGGGCTTGGAGTCCCTAGTTTTGAAGGTTCTCATTATCCATCTTATCATTTTCCTAGCAGATGATGTAGATACATTGTTGTAGTCTCTGAAGGCGAGATCCTCTGACATTATCACTCCCAGGTCCTTCACATTACTTTTCCGCTCTATTGCATGGTTAGAATTTGTTGTATACCCTGATACATTCTTAATTTCTTCAAGTTTCCCATATCAGAGAAGTTGAAATTTCTCCTCATTGAACTTCATATAGTTTTGAGTGGCCCATTCAAAGATTTGGTTGATGTCCGCTTGGAGTCTCGCAGTGTCTTTGATGGAGGTCACTGTCATGGTAATCCGGGTGTCATCCGCAAAGGAAGACACGGAGCTATGGCTTACATCTCTGTCTATGTCAGGATTGAGGATGAGGAATAGAACGCAAGCGAGTACTGTGCCTTGTGAAACAGAGCTTTTTACCGTGGCTGCCTGGGACTTTACTCTGTTTACTATTACTCTTTGTGTTCTATTTGTCAGGAAGTTGTTGATCCATCTACCAACTTTTCCTGTTATTCCTTTATCACGCATTTTGTGTGTCATTACGCAATGGTCACACTTGTCGAAAGCTTTTGCAAAGTCTGTGTATACAGTAGACCATCATATAGCATGGTAGTTACATTCCTGAAAAATGCCGTGTTAGGTAAAATCGTGTTAGATGAACTGAAGAACTTATGGGAAAAATAGGGTTACGTTCCTGGGAGCCCCCAAAAGCCAAACAACTTTATTTTTAGGTCTCCACATCTTACAAAAATAAAAGTGAAAATGTAGTTTTAGTTCATTGCTGTTATGTATAGTGTTGTTTTTACTGCTTAAGACTACAAATGCAACAGAAATAATAGTATGCCTTATCTTAAATTGTGGGTGCTGGTGTTTGCAGATGATTGTGAAGAGAGTGGAGAGTTATGCTGTGGCCCTACTGGGCTGAGGTGGATGGTAGAGGTTTTGGTACTGAAGGCGATGGTTGTACTGGAATATCTAACTTCAAGTCATGCAGTCAGTCAAGTCACTCAGTAAGTCAGTCAAGTCACTCAGTAAGTCGGTCAAGTCACTCAGTAAGTCAGTCAAGTCACTCAGTAAGTCAGTCAAGTCACTCAGTAAGTCAGTCAAGTCACTCAGTAAGTCAGTCAGTCATTCAGTCACAAACTCATGTTTACCTCTTTTTCTGTGTACAAAGTAACACTTTATTACGGCTACAGGTTATCTCGTCTAATATCTTTGTTTCTTTGTTAATTCTAAGACTTAAGTGCTTATGCCTCTTCATGCCACTTTCAGCAACACTGGTATGGCTACTGGGTGTCATGATTGCTTGGCAGATACAGGATATAGTAATTAAAATATAACACAATTCACAAACACAGCTGCCTTGTAGCAGAGAAAGACTGGACTGGGCATGCATGAATTACGAATGCTGGGATGGTGGGGTGGTGTTGGGGAGTGGTAGGGGATGGCGGGAGGGCTCCCTGACTGCTCCACAACAAGGCAGTGCTTGAGCACAAGAGAATTTTTTTTCCTTCCCAAAAACTGAACTGTGTTAAATTATACGACACGTTACATAAAATTGTGCCGCAATTCTTCAATCGTGCAATACCCAAATCGTGCTAAATACACTCATGCTAAATGACGGTCTACTGTACTACATCTGTATTTTGTTTATCCTCTACAGCATCGAAGACCTTGTCATAATGGTCCAGTAGCTGGGACAGGCAGGAGCAACCTGCTCTAAACCCGTGTTGCCCCTGGGTTGTGTAATTGATGAGTATCTAGGTGGTTGGCTATCTTGCTTCTTAGAACCCTCTCAAAGATTTTTATGATATGGGATGTTAGTGTTATTGGTCTGTAGTTCTTTGCAATTGCTTTACTGCCACCTTTGTGGAGTGGGGCTGTGTCTGTTGTTTTTAGTGTGTGTGGGATGACCCCTGTGTCCATGCTCCCTCTCCATAAAATGCCGAAGTCACGCGATAGGGAAATAATGTAGCTGCACAGTAGCTGCATTATGCAGAAGTTATTTAAATCAAAAGAAGAAAATAATTTTATTTTTATTATTTGAAAGAAATGAAAGAGCATCAAAAGAGTGACTGACTTGCACTGTTCATTTAAGATTTGAAAGATATTGAAATGATGATGATCAAGAGTTAGAGAGAGTAGTATAGATACAGATACAGGAGGGTGTCACTTTACAGCATTTCACTAATGCAGCAGTTTTCAATTATACCCATTCACTTATTCAGGCTACCTACAATAAATATGTTCACGACTCACTATAAGCAATGTACGAAAATATTTTAAGGCAAGTAATGCGTGTACTGTTCTGCATATGCAGTTTTAGACCTAGTTTTATTGTTCATATAATATATGATAGTGTAAACATGTTATCAGGCTTTTATGTATATGCATTTGAATGTGAAAAAAGATTATGCTTCACTTTACAGTGGTAGCCCGGAACCTAACCTGCTGTATAAGCAGGACCCGCCTGCATCTGTTAGTGTTGAACTTAGCAGAAGAATACATGTACAGCATAATAAAAATGCTGCAAAATTACTACTAATATCTTAAAAAGCTGTTGTTCACATTTTAAAACCTACAAAAACATTAATTATAAAGAATAAATTTTCAGTGAATTTCTGAATATGGAGTAGATACAAAATTTCATAAACATTTGCACAAGTCTAACAGTCCTCTTACTGCATAGTACAGATGGTATTAATGTAATAAATGCAAAAATAAGTTGATGATGAATAATGAAAAATAAAAAGAATCCTTTTTCTTATTATAGTTAAGAAACTTCAACTAATGATAGAGATTATAATAAGTAGTAATAATAAGAGGAAGTCCTGAACCGTACCTTTCTGGATTCCAAAGTTCCTCACAAATTTCATAGCCAATGCAGGTGTCTCTTGTGGCAATAAGTGCCTCACCAAATGGCACAGTGATCTGTCCTGTTTGTCTGCTTATCATTCTTGGCAAATAGTAATCCTCCACTTGACGGCTCTGAATGATACAGACGTGTAAATGTACAGCATTAATATAAAAAGTACACAAATACAGGTTGACCATCACTAATCAGGCATCATCAGGTCCTGTAGGCTGCCAGATTAGTGATTTTGCTGGATTACAGAGGGGTTAGGTTAAAATACAGTGGTACCTTGACTTACAAGTGCCCCAACTTACGAGTTTTCCGAGTTACGAGCTGTCATTCAAGTCAATTTTTTGCTTTGAATTGCAAGCCAAAATCTGAGTTACGAGCGAGCTTCAGATACGCCACCATTAGTTGGTGCAGCGAACACCACAACAGTGCACATGGTTACCTCACTGTGGAAGCATCTTTCTTGTGTTGTTCTTGCATTTTGTGCAGTTATTTTGCCAAATTTCTGAGATATTCACCCAAAACGTAGGCCGGTTTCCTGACTCAGGGAAAAAAATTCAGAGAAAATCGCTTTTGTTTCAGTGTTTTCCTTATGAAACTAGCAGTTAGCCTCACAAACACTCCGTTTTCTCTTATAATAAGACCTCAGAAGGGCAAGAATGGGAAGATATGGTCAGAGCAATAATTATTTTTACCTCAGGAGTGGCCGCCACCACCCGTCACATAATGACATTTTATTCATTCTAGAGTATATATCATGTTTCTATGTTATTTATATTGTTTATTATGTCATATTAGATCAATTGTGATGGATAAATAAGCCGCAGAGTTGATATCAGAGTTTTTTTCAACACGTCGGTCGTCTCCCATCGAGGCAAGGTGACCCAAAAAGAAAGAAATTCCCCAAAAAAAGAAAATACTTTCATCGTCATTCAACACTTTCACCTCACTCATACATAATCACTGTCTTTGCAGAGGCACTCATATATGACAGTTCTATTGAAGTACTGAAGTATTTTCTCTTGCTTCCTGAGAGCCAGGAATTCTGCTCTAACGGATTAATGGCATTTCCATTAATTCCAATGAGGAAAACTGATTTGATATACGAGCAAATTGAGTTATGAGCTAGGTCACAGAACAAATTAAACTCGTAAGTCAAGGTACCACTGTACACTTAACCTCACAGCAATATTTAATCATTGGAGATTTTACCCACTTTACGCCCTATTTTTGGCCCATTCCATTGTTCCAATCTACCAAACTCAGCTATTTTGCTAGTACGTACATGTATTCCTTCCATTCTGTCGAATGAGTACAAGAAAATGCTCATTTACCTATGCCAACTACTTAACCCTTTGACAATTTTGGTCGTATATATACGTCTTACAAGCCACCGTGTTTGACATATATATACTCATAAATTCTAGCGGCTTCAAATCAAGTAGGAGAAAGCTGGTAGGCCCACACGTGAGAGAATGGGTCTGTGTGGTCAGTGTGCACCATATCAAAAAAATCCTGCAGCATGCAGTGCATAATGAGAAAAAAAAACTTCGACCATTTTTTTTAAAATGCCAAATTTGTGGTCTATTTTCGTATAGTATTTAGGGTTCTATTCTCGTTTTTGTGGTCTCATTTGATAGAATGGAAAACATATTATAGAAATAGAGGTGATTTTGATTGGTTTTACTATGAAAAGAACCTTGAAATGGAGCTCAAAGCAGGGGAAATGTTTGATTTTTGCCGATGTTCAAAAGTAAACAAATGATATAATTTTCCAATAAATGTCCAACTAGCCATTCTAATATGCAGTCATGAATGGGTTGACGTTATTTATACAATTATTTCAATATTGCAGTAGTCTGCATAACAGTAAATCTTCTATTTTTTGTTTGAATAAAAATTCAAAATAGAAAGCAAGAGTAATATCAGAGGGGCCTGGAGATGTGACTGATGAACAAAGAAAATGTTATTTTAGAGCCAGGAATGTCTGCATAGTTCATTCTGGACCCTATTTTGAAATTGTCATATTTTTTAATTTTCATGAAATTGGCCAAATTGCAAATCTCTGACCATGTTATTGGGTAGTTGAAATTGGTAAATGGGCAGTTTCTTGTACTCAATCGATAAAAAAAATGGAGTTCTAAAGAGATAGCTATGAGTTTGGTTGACTGGATCAATGGAATTAGCTAAAAATAGGGCTCAAAGTGGGCGAAATCGCCGATTCGTAAATATCGCCGCGGTCACTAACTTCGCAAGAGCGTAATTCCCTCAGTTTTCCATAAAATTTCGTTCTTTTGGTGTCATTACAATTGGGAAACGATTCTCCATTTCATAAAATAAATTTTTTTTTTTTTTTTGGAAATTTTGCGACACCAGGAGACACCTCAGGATTTGGGGGTTGCAACAGTCAAGGGGTTAATAAAGTGATCAGAAATTAGTAATTTGGCCAATTTCACACAAATTTCAAGAAATGCCAATTTCAAAATAGGGTCCAGAATAAACAATGCAGACATTCCTGGCAAAATATTTTTTCTGTTCATTAGTCATGTCTCCAGGCCCCTCTGATATTACGCTTGCTTTCCATTTTGAATTTTTATTACACAAAAAATAGAAGATTTACTGTTATGCAGACTACTGCATTATTGCAATAATTGTATAAATAATATCAATCATTCGTGACTGCATATTAGACCAGCCAGTTGGACACGCATTGGATGGTGACGTCAATTGTTTACTCATGAACATCAGCAATAATTGAACATTTCCGCTACTTTGAGCTCAATTTCAAGGTGCTTTCCATCGCAAAACCAATCAAAATCATATCTATTTCTGTAATATATCTTTCATTCTATCAAATGAGACCAAGAAAACAAGAATACAACCACAAAAAATACACGAAAATACACCGCAACTTGCTGTTTTACACAAAAACACAGTCTCAGTTTTATCTCATTATGGACTGTGTGCTGCAAGATTTTTTTTATATAGTGTACACTTACCACACAGACCTATTCTCTCATAAGCGGGTCCATATTTACTGGTCACAGCTTATCTGAGTGAGCTGAACTCATGGCAACCGATAGTGGCTTCAAAGAATAACGTAGAGTGTATGTGCTTTACACAACAAGAAGCACTTCTTTTATTTGTTGGAACCATGGCTAGGACTAAAAGTGAGCAGGTTATAACAATAAATGGAGAAAAAGAAATTAGAATGACTTATGCAGGGAGTAGCGCCACCAAATAGTAGTGGCAGGTTGGCGTAGCGACCCAGAAATTTTAAATTATGCTAGTCAAAATTAGTGCCAGATTATTGATTGCTGGATAAGTGATGGCCAACCTGTACCATATTTTCCAAAAGATAAGGTACACTTTTATGCCTTATATGCTCAAGGTCAGGGTTAAGGGGAGTCTTTGGGTCATGCTTAACCCTTTGAGGGTCAAGAGGCCCTCTCCAAAACTCGTTCTCAGGGTCAAAAATTTTTCAAAAGAAAGAAAAAGAATTTTTACATATGAAGCGATAGAGAATCTTTTCCCAATCATAATGACACCAAAAGTATGAAATATGATGGAAAACTTACGGAATTATGCTCTCGCGAAGGTAACGGTCTCAACGATATTTATGCATCGGCGATTTCACTCAATTTGAGCCCTATTTTCGGCCATTTCCAATATTCCAGCCAACTAAAATCATAGCTATTTCGCTAGAACTCATGTACCGTTATGTTACTTTTGTTGTGCGCCTTATATGATGGAAAATATGGTAAATACTTCTAATTTCCAGAAGGTAACTTTTTGCTGATGATACTGTGCTTTTGGGAGATTCTAAAGAAAAGTTGCAAAGGTTAGTGGACGAGTTTGGGAGGGTGTGTAAAGGTAGAAAGTTGAAAGTGAACATAGATAAGAGTAAAGTGATGAGGGTATTAAATGATTTAGATAAAGAGGAGACTGGAGGCAGTGGAAATGTCGTGTCTAAGGGCAATGTGTGGTGTAAATATTATGCAGAGAATTCATAGTGTGGAAATTAGGTGTGGAGTTACTAAAAGTATTAGCCAGAGGGCTGAAGAGTGGTTGTTGAGATGGTTTGGTCATTTAAAGAGAATGGAAGAAAGCAGAATGACTGGGAGAGCTTATAAATTTGTAGATATAGGAAGGCGTGCAGGGGGCGGCCTAGGAAAGGTTGGGGGGAGGGGGAAAGGGAGGTTTTGTCGGAGAGGGGCTTGAACTTACAGCAAGCATGCATGACCATGTTAGATAGGGGTGAATGGAGACAAATGGTTTTGGGAATTGACGACCTGTCGGAGTGTGAGGAGAGTAATATTTTGTGAAGGGATTCAGGGAAACTGGTTAGCCAGACTTGACTCCTGGAAGTCGGAAGTACAATGCCTGCACTTTAAAGGAGGGTTTTGGGATATTGGCTGTTTGGAGTGACATCTGAACTGTCGTATCTGAGTGCCTCTGCAAAGACAGTAATTATGTACAAATGATGGTGAAAGTGTTGAATGATGAAGACCTACTTAGACTAGTGGATGGTTCCACTATGACCCCGCCTACTCCTGCTTCACCTCACCTGACTACAGTATATAAGCCACGTCTATGGCCCTATGCTTTACATTCTACAAGACTGATGGACTGAACACATCAACTCTAGGCTGAGGGACTGATTACCTCAAACTCCTCCTCTCCTTATACCTTTCTGCTTTGTATTGGACTGATGAAGCCACCGTGTGGTGAAATGTGTCCTGAATAAAGATTCCCATGTGTTGCATAAGTGTCTCAATCTTCAACTTGTCTTTTTTTTTTTTAAACCATTCATCACACATTGATAACTATAACAGAACACACAACTATAATACGAGACACAGACCACTCTTCGATATCTCTCGTGGTCACCTCTCCCTATGCAAAAATGCTATGCATATAAAAGGCCCGAAGATCTGGAATTCATTGCCAGAACACACTAAAGGACCCCTGTCTGCAAATCAGTTTAAGGCCCTAATAAGAAATCACCTCATCACCCAAAATTAACCAGACAAACCGTACCTAATCACTTCCAGTTTCTCAAAAGCTACTCATATTGTGCTGATGAATGCTCAACTACTTACTACTTCAAAATTAGGATGTCTGT